AGCTGAACCTGCCCCCGCCTTCCCACCGCCCCCAGACCTCACCCCCCCGAAGGAGGCAGTAGCTCTTTGCTCAGGCCTGTCACAATGTGCACGTCGGAATTACCGCAAATGGGAAAAAAAATATGCCACCCTCCCCAGAAAGAGAAATTTGCTCAGCCGGCACCAGCAATTACTAAATTTAACACCTGACCCTCAAACAACAGAAGTCATCCTCATCCTCTGCTAGCCACGTGTTTTCCACTCCACAGGACCTAAGGGGTCTTGTGGCAGAGAGCGGGGCCATCGTAGGCTGTGAGCCCCGAGAGAGTCATTGCTGTCACCAGGAATATGTGTGGGGCATCATCCTTTCCACTGTTTTCCTTCCCATCTAGAGAAATCCTAAAGGATGGCACGAGCTGTCCAGTATCCAAAACACCCATTGCCACCACTAATTTAGTGGTGCTTTGCTTTTTCAGAGCAGAGAACACCTCTGCCTCCCACTGGGAGGGTCAGATGGACTTTTCAGTGGAAGAAAATGAGATAGGGAGCTCTTACACTGATTTCATTTTCGGACACAGCCGGGCACGGCGTTATTTCCTTTCAAGTAGCTTTGGAGCACTTCAGCACGAGCAGCAGCAGCAAACTCTCAAAGGGAGGCACACTTGTGTGCCCGTCTCGATACAGGCACGAGGGACGGAAAGGATAAGACTGACCGACATCAACGGGTTACTTTCTCCAGGGAAGTCTCGAATTAGGACTTTGATGCCAGATGGTTGCATAAACGGATTCAGATTTTCTCTAGTTTAAAAGGATTTGGTTTTTTTAAGGTATCTTGAGCGGCTACTGGCTGGTTCAAAATGACACGGAAAAAAGCGCACTGTCAAAAATACCCTTTGCTATTTCTGCTTTATGCCCCAGAGAACAAAGAAGAAAAACGAGGGCATTACAAAAATAATTTAATCAACATACACAATAAATGATGTTCTCAGACATCTGCAGAAGCTCAAGATTTGCATGGAAGTTTAGCTCTGAGTCAGATCACACCTCCTAGCTCAGCACTGATCTGCAAGTTTGTGAACCGTCTTGAGAAGGGAGAACTAACACCAGGAGTCTAGACAAAAAGCAGTTGCATAAAATCTAACAATACCTGCCTGGTTTTCCAGCCTCTTTCATGGGTTAGGGCCAAGTGTTGGTGCGACGACGGTCTAGAGAGGTTCACACTCACTAGTAGGGAAATAGGGCTGGGACGTGCTGTGCTGTCAGATGTTTTGCGACTTAGAATGTGACCCATTCACTAAAGTCTGGGAAGAGGGAGGAGACCGTGCATAGGAACACCAAAGAGTCACTTAACATCTGCATCTTGACCAGTCTGCAGCAATTCTCCTAAGCAGTGATCCAGAGCTCTCTCCCTCTCTTACCCTCTGCTTTCAATCCAGACCGGAGTTAGACAAGTATCCTTTGCTAACGGGTCTGCCTCTTGCATTTGCTTATCCCAGAATCCTGTTTTAATCGACCAGGTTCACCTACTTAATAACAGAAATTTGGAAGCAGCTTTTTATCTCCCCGCTCCTTGAATTGCTGGTGCCAGCTGAATACACAGGATGGATCTGCCAAATGGGCTCGGGGGTCTGGCCACCCTCGAGTGGGACGAGACCTTTAGAGAAACTGAGCAAAAGGAAAGAGAACAAAGCCTGAAGAAAATGTCTCGCTCTCGGGAAGAAAGATTCTCTACCAATAAAGTCATCGTGCATGTTTAAAGGGAGTGAGAAAGAAGGAAAATGAACACAAGATATGCAAAACCAGTAACGTTCAAACCTGTCAGTGGATTGCAGAATAGTTACTTACACCAGGTACACTTTGTTCATTGTACAAATTAAAAAAGGAAAAAAAATAGTACCCCTTTCCCCAACCACACGTAGAAAAGCACTTAAAAGTTCAAAGGTAAAGCTTGGCACATTCCAAATACGAAATGATTCACTTGACATGCAGCAAAATATACAAGAAGTGATTCTTTTTTTTTCTTCTTTTTTTTTTTAAACAAACTGAATTCAATTCATTATCTTTGCTTGGCACAATTGCAATTCATTTTAAAAAAATATTTGAAAAATACTGAAACTGACCTGAATTCAAGTATAACGGTTTCTTCAACAGAAACATTATCAATGCAATAAAACATCACACGGAATATATCGAAGCGTAACGCCTTCTGGTTTTTTTTTTGTTTCCCCCCACCCCTGCATTTTTTTTTCTATACAGTTTTAATGCCAACACAACTTAACAATTGTCTTTTAAAATTAATATTATTGCATTGTTTTTGCATATCTTGTGGAACAGAAAATGCAAAGAGTTACTGATTCCCCTTCCAAAAGCAGAGACAGTGGTTTGTTTTTGCATTCGAATGGCCCCAGGTACAGATCTCCTGCAGCTCAAACCAGGACGTGGAGAACCGCGTGCGCTTCCACGCACGCGCGCGCACACCACTCGCTCCCTCTTGCTCCCACACTCACAGATACACTTAGCACTGAAAAGAACCCAAATCAATCACTCAAATGTGCAAGACTATATCAAGTGCATCGCCTACTATCTTTAAATTATAAAACAACAACAAAAAAAGGAGGTTCCAATGACTAGCAAATAAAATTACAAATTCTTCGTGTACATAATGGTTGGTAAAACTCTTCTATTGTTATACTTCTACCAAATTGCAATGGAGAAAAAAAAAACCAAAACCAAAAACCAAACCAAACCCGGTTTAAATAATACAACATGATCAAACTCATTTAACATTTGCGAAGGTGAAAATCAACCAGAACAAAAAGGTCGGTGATTACAAAACGTTGTAAACACTCCCTCCTCCCTCCCGCAACGAAATCGTAACAAAACAGTCAAAATAAAGCCTGCGACATGCTTCCAAGAACGGATTAAAACCGCGAAACACGGAGAGATCTACACGAGCGCACCGCCCCACAGCCGTCTCCCCACGCTCCCATTGGCTGGGGCGGGCGGCCCGGACGCGGCC